CTTGTGGCAGCCCTGAGAAGTGTGTGCTGAAGGACTGGCTCTTATACACATCTAGATGTGTATAAGAGACAGGTTAACTACTGCGGGCCACAAACCCATTGAACGAGGTACATAAGGGTGATTTTGGCCCTCAGTAGCGAACTCCATACATTTTAGTTTTTTCGGACGGTTATTTCTTTCTTTGTTTGTGACGTCTCTCTCTCTCTCTCTCTCTCTCTCTCTCTCTCTCTCTCTCTCTCTCTCCATTCTTTCTTTCCTATGTCTCTATCTCTCTCACTCCCTCATTCCGACGGATGCGTTTCGAAAGAATGGTCTGCTTTGTATTTGTTAAGTTGTGTTGTCCACTGTTATATCGAGTCATGTACGGGGGAAACGTAAATGTACAGTAATAAATAACAATGTATGTTGCCACGTACATATAGCCAAGCTTTGGTAGGCGCCCGATGACAACAACTATGGAAGTAGTGAGGGCCTGTCTCTCTCTCTCTATCTATCTATCTATCTATCTATCTATCTATCTATCTATCTATATATCTATCTATCTATCTATCTATCTCTCTGTATTTCTCTGTATGTACATATATCTCTAGATGTCAAGATTGGTCAAAACCGGACAGAAGAGAATGTCAGGCAAAGAGTGTGATGCAACGGTGGATCACTTTCTACTACTGGGGGCCAAAGAAGAGAAGACGACTTAGATGGACCGGAACTGGGGTCAGATAGTAGAGAAGCAGTGAGAACATATAGACAGGCTAACAGACGAGGTACATAAGCAGAAACAATTGGCGAGACAGATGTCAGACGAACTAGACCGTATTAAGTCATTGCTCGTAGAAATCACAGAAACTGCGGAACAAAGGATGTTCACTGTTTTCAGGTTGTTGCTAGACGATCCAAAGTGTTTAGACATAAGTCGTCTGAGGGAGGACATAACTGCCAGACTAAAGGCAATAGCTGAAACGAAGACCACCACGTTTGACAAGTTCCAGACATGGTTGGATTGTGAAAGACGCAGTTGCACCGCGGTCTTGAACCGGTTCGCCGCCCACGTCACAAAGAGAACTCACAGGGAATCACAAGGACTTGATGTCGCATCTTGTGGCAGCCCTGAGAAGTGTGTGCTGAAGGA